ACGGATATACCGGCACTATTATTTTCGAAAGTCTTTGAAAAAATTAAACACAGGCTAAAAATATAATTTTCACGAAAATCTCCAGTGATTTGAAAGAGTTTAACAGTCAGAAGTAGTGAAAAAATCTAGCAAATTTCTCGAATAGTGTAAAATGCACAAGGACACATACAGGGTGTTTCAGATTTGATTGTACATTTTGGGTTAGACTGCCAGGCTTCTCTACGAAGTTATTAGAAATAAGGTTGTGCTGAGTTACTAAGAATACTACGTCTATCAGAGAATTTTGCGGAGAATTCAGTGGCGTACTCAATTTCTTTAGGGGTTATGATTTTGGTGACAATTATGAATGAATTTGAAATCCAGGACTTTCATTCATGTAAAAACAAATCAACAATGAGGAAAAGTAGGTATCTACCTGCTATGTAAGAGGTAGGTCATCGATAGGTCATACTTGTACCTATTTTAAAAGGAATCAATGAAGATTATAAAGTGAAACTTTAAAATTGCATCAATAAAAAATGAGGTGTTGATTGAGGTAGTTGTGGAATTGAAATATGAATTTTGAAAATCTACAAGAAAATCATCACAAAAACACAAAAAAAACTAGAACTGTTACTTATGAATAAAATACAGTTTATAATAAAAACATACAAGCAGGCAAAATTATAAATAAATATTTCCAAGATACAATTTGAAATGTCATGGATATGTTCAAGTACCTAAATAATCAGTGATATATCCTTAAAAATTTGAATTCAACTTCAAGGAATGAACAAAAACTGTATATCATGCTATCAATTGAATCTGGGTTTTGGTTTCAATTTGTGTAGCTATTTGCACTCAATTGCAAGATACCCTGGATGGCAACTCTTCCCCTGCTGAAAAATTGAAGAAGAAATGTTAGTACCTACTATAAACAAACCATATCTATGAACTATTACACAATCTGAATATCCAAATAGAAATAGATTGTGTCACTTTAATGTATGTTCAAAGATTCAATTCAAACTATGAAGTAAACACTACCTACAATAACTGCTGAATAATTTTTTCATGCCAGGGTTATTATATATCTATAATATATGCTTTTGTTCTTGCTCATATGAATGTAATTGGGAGCTGTATTCTATTGATTGTTTTCGAAGTACATGCATCTGCATTGGCTATTTAACTACAGAGATGATACTACAAAATAGAAATATATAAAGGCCTAGGCCTAGACAGGATGCCATGAACAAGATTTCAATATGATTTAGAGAAGGCAAGTGCATTACAAATAAAACCATAAATTACCCACCTGCACATGTTCATATTGTCATATTCTTTCTTGTCCAGCCTTGTGTATTGCAGTTCAAAAGTCAAAGGCATTGAATTTGCTTCTTTATTTTCATTATGAGAATATTTGGAAGAAAAACAACCATACTTATTTTTCCAAGTCCTAGTTTCTGGAGACATTTCCCCATTGATCATTTCAATCATGTTCTCTCTCAGATAGGCACTACAAATAAGAGTCAATTATCAGTAATAAATATATCTATGAATCACAAATTTACCTTATTGTTTTCATTATTGGACCAATGAAGTGAAGAAAGGTAGTAAGTTTTTGTTGGAGCTGCCAGCATCCAGTTTTCAAATTCATATTCAATTCTCAATGTTTATTCATTTCTTCCATTCAACACTGAACTGATCGTTTATCATCAGAAAAGACTTCTTAAGTGCAGGAAATTCATTTTAAAAGACATTATAGGTCCTACATTTTTCCATTGGAACCTTCTACTATTTTATTTTGTTGTGAGAGATATAATTCCCATATCACTGATAAACTTGAAACTTCTGTGAGTTGGAATGTTTATTTCTTGATGGATCTGAGGCACAAGCTGAGTCAGGGGCGTATTTCAATATTCAGCGCCCCGGGCCTGTAGGGTTTGCCGCCCCATAAATCAACGGAAAATGAGCAAAACATTAAATCATGAAATGAAAGCCAGCAGTATATTGGGTTGAGAATGATAATAATGAATGGAAAAATTAAGAAGGCCAAAGAAAGAAATAAACACTATTTATTCGATATTTACATTTTCTTTCGATGGACAGATTGGTTAACAAATTCGTCAATAACACTGTCATAATTAATGGAATTTGTCAGTTCAGCTTCTATATTGAGAATAGCTAAACTATTCAAACGTTCTTCGCTTAAACGAGAACGTAAATAATTTTTTATTCTTTTATAAGTACAGAAAATGACCGTTCTGCACTGCAATTGGTCACCGCAGTGCACAGAAATATTCGTAATGCTATTTCAATATATGGAAATGCTTCCTTCAAATCTTTTTGCTTAATAAATAAGCTGAGTTGCCTTAAACTCATTTTATTTTCATGAGACGTCAGGAATTGTTTTAAGAGAACACATTCTTCTTGTAAATCATCCGCCAGATCAATAGGGTAAACTTTTTGGAGTTTTATGGCATTTAATCTTACTTCTGAAGCAGACATTGTATCCAATTTGCATAAAAATGCAAAATTGGCGGTTACCGCCTCATACGAAGTTTTTCGCTTCCTTAACTCGCCCAATAATCGGTCGCATATTGGAAAGAAAGTATTAACCCTGAAATGATCCTGTCCTTGAAACACCACTTCTCCCTCGCTACTCTCATCGTCTCGTTTCTTTCTCTTGACAATTCTATTGTGAATGTTCCGGTACTCTTCTGTGCATTTTCTTTTACCAGCCTTTTCAAAAGTATCAAAAGATTCCCGTTGTTCTTCTACAAAAGTAATGAGTGACTTGTAAAGCCTGGAAACTACTTCTACGTCTGTGTCGACACCTTGTAGTATTTTGGAAACTATACCAAATCGTTTTAAAACAGATCCCCAAAATTCCGATGATATGGCAGTTTCTAGAGAATTTAGTTGAGCTAATAGCCCAGCCGCTTCATTTTTAACCAAGGCTTTGTGGTATGCAGAGTCACTTCTTATAGATTCAAGAGCCGCTATTATCTGGCTCCAATCATTATTAAGGCTGGTACAAGCATCGTCCCTCGCTGACCATCGGGTTTGTGATAAACTTTTCACAGTTACATTTTCAGGCTTTGCGCACCCAGAATTTGTTGACTTTGTTTCCCAGGAGTGCATGTGAGTGAGAGGTAAAATTGGAACATCGACATCAAAGGTTCCGACACGGAGTAATCTAACTGTGTGCCGCCGACGCTAATTTCTTCGGAGGAATAAAGTAAAAAAAAAACCTAAGCGTGGTGCGGCTTGCGCCGCCCCTCGCAGCCTGCCGCCCCGGGCCATGGCCCTTTTGGCCCTTAGGTAAATACGCCCCTGAGCTGAGTCCAGAGCTGAGTGAAGTGTAAACATGCACCAGTATACAGATTAGCACAGCGCTTTTGGTCAGTTTTTGTGCTGAGATTGTCCATTGCCATTGCAAATATATCATCTTCTTTCTAATTCACCGATAGTTGAAATGGTTGGGTCATTTTGATATCCTACAGAATGTCACAGGTTTGATGAAAAGCTTCTTTGTAGCTGTAATGACAGTATTATGTCAATCACACACACGATGTAATGATGATTCAACAATGATTTTTTATATTTTCTGTGATAACTTCGAGAATCAACACAATTAACACGATTGAATAGCAGGAATAAAATTTATGTATGCAAAACACAACATATGTAAACAATAACAAAGTGCCCTGATAACGCCGCCATCTTGTTTTTGATACAGCGCCCTCAACGGTCGAAAACTACATTTGATGATTCTCTATCAAGGTTGGTAGAAATGGCGATTATTCGTATATGAGGTTGCCTAGCGGATGGGTGAAATATCTCGAAAATCTATACTTGCTCAATGCATAGATTCAATGTATGGTCATTCATGATTCATGATGTCTTCATCGAAAATTTCAATTCTGAGTTGATGGGAATGGGACTATATATTCTATGATAGTCTTCAAATCGATTTACCAATCCAGTCGTGGAGTTGTGGTTTATCACGCATACTTTTCTATGAAGTGTATTTAGATTTATGTATGATCCCAACATGAACTTTTGTATCATAGCAATTTCTGCTTATGTTCAACCGGAGGCCACCTTCTCTAAATGATCAGAGATCAGTCACATCAGTTCTACCAACCTTGGTCTGTATAGTACAATACGCCATCTCTTAGCAGCTTCTTCAACTTTATGTAATTACACTGCTACATGAAGAAAACTGTTGACAATATTCAAAAGAAGCAACCTACGATTTTTTAAGTTCGAAAACATTGCATGCATAGTCAAAAGTCTGGGAACGGTGAAATATTTGAAGATGAGATTATTTCAAATTTGCAAAGTGGTGAAAGAAACAGGAGAAGATTATTTATTGGAAATGTTTATTGCTATTGTTACAAAGCATTTTCTTAAATCTATAGCTTATATTATAACAAGAATAAATTACTTATGAACTAGTATCAGAGCTTATATACTTACTTAATATGTTATTTCATCTATGCAACAGCGGAATGTTGTAAGTATACTAGTGAAAAACAATTTTGATTTGACTGTTAGTTACAGAAAAAATATACAGATAGGTGATATGTGATACCTCTACCTACCTATCTACTTTTCATATTTGTAATGAGTCACATATACATTCAGATGGTTGTATAAATTAGTAAATATTTGTTACAGACGATATGGGTGCCACCCATATACGTATTAATAAACAATACGGATCATAACGGGTGCCAGGATGAAGCCAAAAATATGAAACAAATGAATATCCATAAGGATTTGGTGGCATGATACGCATTCGCCATGCGCTATTATAGTAGTCATCAAAGACATGCGTTTCGGTGGACAATGACGTTTACTAGCCTTTCAATCAAAGCAGTATGTGTCTGATCGTTTCAAAACTTTTCCTTATGGATAGTCATTTGTCTTCAAAAATCGGCTTCATGTTTCGCTATGGAAACAGATAGAGATTATCCGTATTGATTATTAATACGTATATGGTGCCACCAAAAAATTTAAAAAGTGGAAAATAAAATGCAGTAGATTGAAACAATGTTGAAACTGACACTTTACAATAGTTTTTTGTTGTTGAGATTCAATATAATACTTGAGAAACTTCAACTTATATGAGTGAAGGTATCGTAATGTAATTTTAGTCAAGGTCATAATCAATTCATCCATCCAAATTGTCACAAAACTTCACAAAACGTTTTTTTCATCACCGACTATTTACACGTGTATTCTTCAGTCCTTTCACTACAAGTGTCGCAATCAACTTTACAACACCATACGAAATTACACCTGCATTGGAATGTTCTTGTATATTGGTGTGTGTTGTAGCCCCTTCCACAGCACATCAAGTCACAACCGTCGATACCTAAAAAAAAAAATAAAGTATTAGGATTAGGTAATCTTCAACAAAAAAATATAATAAAACTCTCCAAGTCGTCTCCACAACGTTTAATTCCAAATTCAAGAAAATTTCGGACCCAAAAGGTATCCATCGCATCAGCCAGAAAGAAATTATTGTGAAGAAGAAAACAGCAAAAACGAGAGCAAAAACATGGTTATAATCAGCATGGTAAAACGGTTATCAGAACATGTTTATAGTTTTAAATTAATTTTTTTTGAAATGGAATAAAAACAGGTATCATTATTTAAATTGGGGCCCTGTACCCCAGATATTTGTTCAACGACCCCGTACATTCGGTAGCAGCAAGCAATCACAAAATGTTCTGGGTACAGGGCAGGGCCGATCCTAGGGTGTCGGCCGCCCGCGTGCATAAACCTAATGTGCCGCCCCTCTAGAGAATTTTTCATATTTTATAACTATAATACCTGATGACATCATAACTTCAACTACTTGTACAAGGATAAGAAGTAAAACACAGAAAAAAAAATGTAGACAAAATCTTCATGCGCCGCAGGCGAATTTTTTCTGAGTTCAAGGTCAAATGCTTTCAGGTAATAACTCCATTTCAGTGCATACCGGGAGCGGCCAAGAAACTCAGACAAAATTTTCCTATGGCAAAAAATGCGCCGCAGGCGAAATTTTTGTTGGGATTCAAATTCATCACATTAGTATATTACAGTTTATTGTAATTGATATAAAATGATCTGGAATCTGAAAATAAGAACAATAAGAAGAGCAAGTGAAAAGTATTTTAAATGGTGTCTGTATTTTAACCAAATGGATGTTCTCCAGATTTTTTGGGATTTTCTCTCATAGTCTCTTAGTAAGTAGTAGAAATGCATAAATAAGCTACCGCACAGTGATGGAACAAAACATCCTGAGGCGTCTGAAAAATATGCCCCTTGGTTATTGTTTCAAATAGAAATTTAAAATTTGGGAAGATAAGAATGTGTATAAAAAGTAGACATTGATTGACAATGGACCAACACACTATTTTTTTATTTATTCAAAATGCAGCATATTCATTCGACTTATGAGTTTCAAATAATTTTGTTTGATAGGACAATATGCGGCCTGCGGCCGCCCCTTGTTTTGGCCGCCCGCTAGGATCGGCCCTGGTACAGGGTACAGAATCATCCACAATGCCATATTGGATTTTAACAGATTTGAAATCAGCATAAAATTTCCTTTCTAGTGATGTATCACAATCACAGTTTTATTTTATTTGGGGTACTGATTTCCAATTGTTGTTTGTATGTCCAGTAGGCTATGAATTCTGTAACTAATTAATAATACTCGAAGTTATCTCCACCACAATTCATTATGTTGTGTTATTAGTTACTACTTCATTCCACCATGACTTTTACCTTAGATTATGGAATCTGTGTTCTATGTTCTTGCATAGCTTAACAGGTGGATAATACAAATACTAAAAAAAATTAATTGAAATGCTCGAAATGGCTCCCATTGTTCTCGATACATTTTAATATTCGCGAGCGAACATGATTCGCTGCTTTCCTCAGATGAACTCTGTTGATGTGCTGGAATGTGTCCATCACTTTCGTAGATCATCAATATCTTGAATTGGCTCTTCATAAATTTTATTTTTGACAGGTAAAAATCGAGAGGCGTACAATAAGGCGACCTTGGAGGCCATCTAACAGGTCCATGAGTAGTAATTAATTTAGCACCAAATTGATTTTCGAGATATCGATATCGATTCTTTCACACTGGTTGACGAACCAGTGACAAAACTCGAGACGACGTTCATTATCACCAGGTCCTAACCCTTGTACTCTCAGTGGTTTTTGTGAACGGCATTGTTTGCCCCGAAATAATTAACTTGTATTTTCTCTTGACGTTTACAGAAATGTCACTTGGCTCCAAGCCTACTCTATGAAAGTTGTGCCAGAACACATAATCGTTATTGTTTATAGAGAGTTCAGCGCATAGCCTATACTGGACATAAAAACAAAAATTGGAAATCAGTACTCCTTATAAGATAAAACTGTGACTGTGATATATCACTAGAAAGGAAATTTCATGCTGATTTCAAATCTGTGAAAGTCCAATATGGCGTCCATAAGAAAAACCAAAGTTGTAGGGGATATCTCAGAAATTTGACATTTTGATAGAAAACTGACAAAACCATTGAGAAGAACAGCAAAAAGTGCTATGAGAATGTTGAAGTCATTTTTTCATAATATCAATAGTTTCCGAGATATTCGAGAAAAACAAAAATACAAGATTTCATTTTTTCTCAAATAACTCAAGAATGACTGAAGCTAGCCTGGATTTCTTGATAGATTCTGATTCAACATTAAATTTGCTACAACTTTGCTAATTCAACCGTTTCTCTATCTCTCATAGTTACTGAGATCCCAATGGTGAGGATCGAAGTTGGGACACAGGGGGGTCATAAATATAAACAATTAATACTTCCAACTTCAACATCCTGTACCTCAAAAACGGAGCAAGCTAGGACACATATATCATGAACTTTATTTGCTAGAATGTCACAAGGAATTTTTTCAGTGTCATTTAGATACACAGTGTATAGAAAGTATTCCACCGACCTCTCGAAGTCCTGTTGCACCGCCTCCCCGCCGTTCCCAGCGATCCCGCCGCCAAATCCCTCTCGCAATAGTTGGGCGACATCTGCAGATACACCAACTCGGACTTTTTCGGCTCCCGCTTCACCGGCACCTTGCCCTTGGTCAGCACCAGGTGCTGCCGCTTGGCCCTCCGACGGTGGGAGGCTCCCACATGGGAGGCGCCCACGTGGGAGGCTCCCATATTGGAGGCTCCTGTTTGGGAGGCCACCGGGCGCGCCCTGTAGTACTTCTTCATGAGGATGTCGCCGACTTGCCGGAACGTCGGCAGGGTTTTCCAGCAGGTTTTCATCGTGCAGCTGCCCGATACGCCGTGGCACTTGCATTCGACTATGAGGCTGGATTTGACGGCCTGAAACAATAATGGATATTTTTCTGCAACCGACACAAAAGTCGTCTATTTTGATACCAAAATTAGCTCTTCAATAATTGACATTTCTATTACTGACACAAACATAGGGGTGTTGCTAGGCAACATGTTTAGCTCCTAGGAGCTGAAGTTGAACTTTAGTTCATAGGAGCTTAAGTTGAACTTTAGCTCCAAGGAACTAAAAAGGATGTACTAGATGTCATCAAGAATAAACAACATTGTTATGGTTAGTTATTTGCGTTTGGACTTATACCTGATTTGTTCCCGATATCGGCAGATTTGGCATTTTTTACCTATGCTGGAGATATAAATACACCATATTATAGTTAAGTATTTTTGTTTTGATCAGGAAATCCTTCAAGATTTACATAGTTGCTTGATCTGTATTTCATTCATTTTCGGGATCTGATTGATTGGATAACTTGTTCTTGAATAATCACGGTCAGCAATACTTTTTTGTCTCATACAACGATATTGTTTACCTTTATTCGATTACCGAACCATGCACAGTGGAATATGGAGAGAAATAAATAATCTTTATTATTCTTGTTGATATGCTCACTAACCTAACATTTTCCACTTCTTTTTCGTATACCTGGCACTGGCGCGGTATTTGCTATTAGGACAGACACCTGGTCCAAATGAATTAATCGATTCATCGATTCAATAGAATACCCAAATCGATCACTCTGTGGTTGTATTTATATTGAAACTGCAATTCGTACATCCTTGAAAATTGAATAAACCTGATCTGTAAATGCAGGTAGAATATTCTCAACACAAATTGTAACAACGTAAAGTCATCGTCCACCAATATTCTAATGTAAATTGGTCTGAGGTGTTGCTTCTATCTACTTACCTATATTATTATAATAAAGGTATTATAATAATCTGTCAAGTAAGTCACATTGGTGGTTACTTCATATATTTATTTTAGTTAATTCTTTCGGCTGCAGAAAAATTAGCATGTTTCATTCGGATCAAAAGTGACTTTGTTTGATTCGCAAAATTCGCTTGTCAAACAAAGTGTCACTTTTGATCCTAATAAAACAACTACTATTTTAGCTTCCTCATGAAATGAATGTGTTATTTGGCCCAGAGATCGCATATTTTGATTTTATATTGACTGACTGATACTTTTTGTCGGGATTATTTCGAAAATGTTATGCTTTGAGATTTATAGACGTCCTAGGACAAATAAATTGGGTAGGCCTAAAGGTTACTCGACTTTACAGGGTGTCCCAAGTTATAGTTTATGCACGAGCAATGTCTTGCCTATTTGATAAGATTAAATAACAAGTCAAAAACACTTCCAATACCTATCCTTCTAATGATTAAGAAATTTAATTTGCTATGAATCATTCGTTCCGCGTCAAAAAATCCAAAATTATATTTTTGTTACTTAGATATTGGAATAAATGGAATAAACTGTAATTAACGTCATCGAACATCCTGTATACAATCGTGAGATATTCCAGAATTTTTAAAATATCCATTAATTGGGTGTGGTGTTTCTCAATACAATATTCTACAAAATAATAGATTATCAACCGTAAAGTTTTATAGCGTTGTCATGTCGTGTTGCTTTTGACCCTAGAGAAAGAAAGGTCTTTGGGTGAAAAACTTTGCACAATCAGAGGTAGTAAATAAGAGTTAGGAAACTCCTTTCTATATAGACATTCCAACCAAACCATGTATAGAAATAGGTATAGATTTATCAATTAAAGTGGTTATGTAGTATTACCTGTGAATATAATTATTAGTGACTAGGCGCAATTATTCTTCAATTTCTATATAGGATTATGTCCAATTGATACTAACTAATTAGTCGCTATGTATACACGGTGGTCCAACATTGTCAGTGGCTGATAGTTCAACCAAAAACAATAGTATAGTTGTAGTTTTAGCTCGAGGTAGTGTTGTCTCCCGAAGTGTAGCCGTGAGTTAAAATCTAATATTTTCCCGTGTATAATACACTATTTTCATCTGTGACAGAAAAAAAGGAAGAATCAATATCGATAAGATTTTACATTATAATAAAATCAGAAAATTATCGACTTGAAATTTGATGTTTTCAACAACAGGAATTACACCTGCGTTGTAGACATCTTTTTGTAGGCATCTTTATCATTCTTTTGAAGTAATCAAATATCTGTCAGTCTAATTCTGTGATTCGATTTTAAAATATTGCGAACTTTTAGTGGTTGTTTGGTAATTTATCTAACCGCGGAGTGGAATGGAGGATAAAAGAACTCTCAGTTCTTTCTGGAAGACGGTGTTATTCGTTATTTTCACGAACTAGCACAACAAAAGTTATCAACAGTGTATATATATATTCGAGATAAGAGTACTCACTTTTTTCTCGTGGGAAAAAAGTAAGTTATGAAAAGTGACATGAAAACCGGCCTTTAACTTGATAGAGTGAAGAGATTTTGTATTTCGTGTAAAATTTATTATAAAATCGCAATTACCATACGAAATATAAAATCTCTTCACTCCATTGATCAGTTTCGTGTATGTAGCTAGACAGATCTTCACCTTTTTTAACTTGGTAACAGATATGAAATGTCAAGCTTCTTGCTGTCACACAAAAAAGTAAGTTTTATTTCATAAAATTGATGTATAAAGTGTAAAAATCCATAAAAAATTTCGGAATATCTTCTCCTGAAGATGCTAAGAGTGGAGTGTGTCTTTCGTTGCCAGGTGGCGTTCAGTGTTCGCGTTTATTTCGCGGTAGTTGAACGCCTCGTGAGAGTATAAATGCTGAGATGCGTTTACGTTGGGTCAGGTTCGCACCAGATAGCGGTCAAGAATGCTATCAGGGACAGCCCTGCACTGATGGGAGCCAACAGCTCGAAACCAGTCTGCAGGTAGTCACGCGTTCCTGAACCACTTTGGCGCAGCTCGGCGTTTAGGAAGGAAACACTTGCGATTTTATTCGTATACACGAATTATTGCATAGATTTCGGGAGGATGTAATCCAATGTCCTGCGTGGCATATAGCCAGGAAAGTAGTTGTTTTTCTCTCGTTATCTACCATTTTCGTTCATTTTATGAACTATTGTAGTAATGACTTTGAGTTTCTCTCTCTTTGTGATCTTCGTAATTGTTTGAAATAACCCAATCAAATCCGGTATTGTTGAATTTTTTATAATAATCTCTAGATGGTTATGGCATAAAATTCCATTTGCAAATCGGAAGTTGATGTCATTTCCAGGAAAAACGGAAGATGAAAAAATGTTCTAAAATGTAAGAAAGTGCCCTTTTCAGAAATATAGCTATGAAACCAAAGGTGAAAAAGGGGGTATACCATGAGTCTGTATCACCCGGTACATACCTAATTAGCTGCTATTTTATTAGAACTTTGTTTCAAGTTATTGTCTTCTTCAATTTGTTATTTGTTTTGTTAATTAATAAGTCTAGATTTGCTCATTGTTGATTTTTTTTATGTTTCCTTACAAATCACTTAAAATCAGGCATGCCCCCCCCTGAAATATTTTTCTAGTTCCGCCACTGCTAGGTAGCTTTTCATCATTACACATGAATGTTAGTTGGTCTATTTGACGAAATTGAAGAAATCTCATTGGTTCTCAGCTTAGGCGTGTCCTAACAGTGGCGTAATTAAGAGTCATCCCTGGAGGGGGGTCTTGAGGTCCAATATCCAATATTTAGGAAAAAGAAAAGCTTATACGTAACTTACGTTGGTTTCAATGAATGTGTGCATCGTGCATCATTTGGTAACAATAACAACATGAATAAAAACGCATTGACAACTAAAACAAATAATATCACATATCAACATGTACAAACATTGAAATAGGACAGAAACAAAACAAAATGACGAAAATTAAAAATTCGACTAATTCAGTTACTGAGAAATGAAATGAAAATAAATATTTACATCCGATATTTCGGAGGTTCTAACAAATTACAAATCAAATTCCCGTGATATTTCCGTCTATTTTTCCATTCATAGAATTGTTTACAGATTGTTTCGGTTTTTCAGTCAGCTCTGGGAGGGGGGGGGGGGGTTAGACCTCATGGATCCCCCCTTAATCACGCCACGAATCGCACAAAATCCATTAGAAAGTTCTGTTTGCCTGTTTTAGTGTGTGTACTCATCTACTGCATGTGGTTAAACTTGATATATTTACTTTTGGGACACTCTGTATACCATTTCACTTGCTCCCACACAACGTAAAGTTCGTACTCTATAATTTCAGCTGCCATTACGAGTTTTGCAAAACACCCTTAGCACGACTCATACACACCCATACCTTGTCATTAGGTCGGTAATTTCTGCAACACGGTATCCTGAGACGTCTCTGATTACAGGAATCAAACGTCATTACGTACTTTACCAACGATGCTGATTACAGTTGAGAGTTGGGCCCACAGGGCTCGTTTTTCATATACCGAGTATATTGTTGATGATAATTTATTATGGCGTAATTTGCTCGGGATGAAATATAGTCGGTGATTTTTTTTTTATTGGTTTACTTGAGACTGTGCCCTGCAGTCGGAATTGTCAGGCAGATAAGAAATCATAATGATGTCAGTTTGAGTTTGCTTTGAAGGGCTTGCGAGAATTTATGCGGACATGTTTGTTCAGAAATAAAATCGAGAGATATCATTGGTTGCGTAAAGATATCGTTCATTTTTCATAATATAATATGTGTGTTATGATTGTGATTGAACATGATTGTGCTCGGCTACACAAAATTCGTCTAACCTACCATATTTCAATGTGCTAAGTGTTCTTTGAACCTTGTTTTCATGGGACGTCTGGTTTGGCCTATATATGTTTTATCACAATCATTACAACTAACAATCCCAAGTACACGAGAGGACTTGATAAGGTTTTCAGAGACCAACTAGGTTTTGAAAGCATTTATCAGTCCGGGTCAAAATTAAGCAATTTTCTAGGTGATCCAAAAGATAAGTTGGACACACTTGAAAAGTCAGGAATATACGAAATTAGT